GTCTTTAAGTCCAAAGTCTAAAGTCTAGATAGTCTAGACACTGGACTAGACTCTAGACTAAAGACGTCCGGCGCAGCTTTGAGGCCGGCGTCCTTCGCTGCAGGCTTCGACAGATGGAAGGCCAGACTGAAGTCTGGGCAGTCCTAGCTCTTATTCCTGGATTGCTGGTCGATTGCCACCCCAAATCATGTAAGTGTATCACATAGCCATAACATAAAGCCATCATATAGCCTAATAGCTATCTCCTAGCCCTTGGAGCGTGAGCTTGAGTGAACGGTGTGCACACAACGGACGTAACGTATTATGACACATGACTGGGCAATTTGGTCGTTGACTAATACCAGTGCGCAACCATGATTGCCGTCAGTCCGTTATAAAATCGGCGAATGGGTTGTGTGTGAGCCAGAATCTATACGTTGCTAGGCTAGACAGAAAAAGATCGCGCTTCGTTCCATGGGTTCACAGATCCACACAAAGTCCTAGGCTTGCTATTGCCTTAAGTTGAAGAATGCTTCAGCTTCAGCCTGAAACGAACCCGAATCGTAGGCGAGCTAAGGCCAAACACATACCGTCGATACTGTACCCCAACCTTGAAACTGAACGCCAACCGAAGCACTGAGCCCAAAGTTAAAGCCTGTAACCTGTAGCTTATATATCGTCTAAAGGCTAAAGGCTTTAGGTTTTTAGGCTTTAGGCTTTAGGCTTTAGGCTAAAGCTTGAAACCTAAAGCCTAAAGTCCTAAAGTATTCACCGGCTAAATCCCGGACCTTAACGGCCTGTATGTTTTTGCCAAGGACTTCTGCCTTGGCCGGCGCACCATGGTGATCGCCTGTCCCGGGATGTGGGTATATGCGGGCGGGCTTGTGTTTTTCGATCGGTTTGGGAAACAATAAACATGCCGCCCCAAGTCCCCGAAAGCAACCTTGGAACTTGCAGTCAAGGTTTAAAGACAGACGCGACTTGGAACCCTGGACCTGCATCTCGAAAAACCTGGGCCTGAATCCTAAAGTTTCAAACCCCTAGCCTAAACCCCACAAACCCGAGCCCAGCAAAACTGAAAACCGTGCAGCCCCAAACATGCGGGTCTGTGATATCAATCCACTTAGCAACCTGGGCCTCGTCCCGACAGCTTGTGTGTTCATGGATGTGAGGGTTTACGGCAAGGTGAGGTAGTGTCTCGGCAGAGTTGGGTTGTCCGGGGTTGGGGTTGCGGTTTGAGTACGGCAGCGGCCCTGTGATTCGCGCTTACAGCAACTCGAACATTGGAACCTGCGTGTAGATTTGGCCGACTTAATCCTGTGGATTCCGCCTTCAGGCTTATTCCAGCTCCCTTCCAATTGGGCGTAATCAGGAGTTGCCGGTTACCCAAATCTGCTGGTCGTTGTCACGAAGTCATGGCCGTCCTGAACTCCTTAAACTAAAAACCTGAACCGTCCTACACCCTGCAGCGCCTACACTCAAACCCGAAACCCCATAGCCCATAGCGGTGACACCGACTTTCATACAAGACTGCAGTGTGTTTTTGTGTCCGCGCCATGCATGCCATTGCCTTCCGAAACAAGTTGGGCAGGGTCAACTCGAATTGGTCCCGGCGGAAGAATGATGCGAGCGCCATCGGTCAGAGTGCAGTTGATGTTGTTGATGCTGTCGATCCTCTGGATCGAGGCCCGATGCCTTCTCAAACTCATTCGTTTAATTACATTCAATCATTCGATCCATGTTTTCATTCAGGCAGGTTGCCGGTTGCAGGCAGAGCCCTGTCCCCACAAGGCCGGAAGAGGATCAAAATTTCTGCGTATCTCAGCTCTGCTTTTTCCAAGCTCTACGATGCAGCTGGGCAGTTTATCCATCAAGTTGACCGAACCCAAATGACGAGCAGATCGAGTCTCTTCGTAGCCACAGCTTTTCTGCAGGGCCAGCGCAGGCCCGATGTCCGAACTTCAGATGAAACTGGAGACTTCCACTGTAGCCAGTTGCCTGTTGTCTATTGCCTATCTATTGCCTTGTCTATTGCCTATGGCTATTGCCTATTGCCTATTGCCTATTGCCCTAGCCTATTGCCTTAGACTATTTATTTCCTACTGCCTACCCTACATATACGCTGTGGCTATGGTCCTATGGTCTAGGTTGTAGTAGCCTATGGCTAGAGCCATAGCCATAGCCCATAGCCTAAGCTATAGCTTAGCAAGGAATAAGTAAAGCGTAAAGCCTAGATGTTTGGCGGCTACAGGCCATTGGCCATTGGTGATAGGCGAGGATACTGCCTTGCTGGATGTTCAGCGAGGTCCTTCATTGAGGAAGTTGTGCACAAAGCGCACGCGAACAGAGAGAATAATTTCATCAACATCTCATTTGGTTTCGACGAGACGCAGCAACGACATCATCGACAGCAGAAGCTTGTGGAGGCAGTGGACCAGAACATGCAGGGCGAGGGCGATGCTGATGCTGCTCCCGAGACAAGGCCCCGAGCTTGACAGATCTCTTGGGAACGTCTTATGATGCGAGTGGTTTGTTTCAGCATGCAGCGGTAGCCGGTAAATTAGAAACATTGAGAAAACGATGTAGCAATATTGAAAATTGTCAGATGCACTCGATCTCTACTAGGTATCCTCTGAAACAGGCCTGTGGGTCGCCTTGGTCACGGGCGACGTGCTGATCGCGCAGTCGGCCGATATGAAATTGTGCACAACATGGTTTGCTCCGGATGCATAGGGTGGAGCACGAACAGCCAGTATACTGAACAGGAGCTTATTTTTCCGCCCTTGAGATTGCAAAGTACGACTGCGAAGCAGGTGGTTGCAGGGCTCTGTCAAACGTTCTCGCAGCATCTCTTTGGCATCTCATGGGAGATCGCTTTGCAGCAGATTGCTAATTCGTTCAGTAGCATTCACTTTTGCATGGTGGGTGACGCTGCAACCTCCAATGTCAAATGTATGAAGCATTTGCTGCCATGGCTACAGGAACAAGGCAAACGCTGGAACCTGGTGGTTTCAGGGGTTTTTATGCCTTGTCTATTACATCAACTCTCGCGGCTGATCATCATGGATTTGGACCGCTCGGATCTGTCGACCCCACTGTTTTCGATTACTCGACTCACCCAACACTCTGTCCTCCGGGACAAAGTCTTTGAGTCTTTGGAGAAGGAGCTCCGGGCTCGGTTCCGTCGGAAAACATGTTTCCCTCCTGCAGATGTGGAATCTTGTTCTGCAGATTTCCGTAGACAGCTCAACCAGATTCTTCTTGGCCGTTGGCAAGAGAATGGTGCAGTCTCGGCAGCGGAGCAGAGGGTCCTCGACATGTTCTCCTTTTTTAATGGGGACATTACCCAAGAGGCCGAGTGGGAACACTATTGCAATGGCTGCTGCGGCAACGATCAAATTGCCATGAGCAAAGCAGCTTAACACAAATCGGCGGTTCATGGCAGTGGTGTATAGTATCAGTACAGTCCAGTGTGTTCAACAGTTCAACACATACTGTCATGTTTTCTGAGGATTTCAAGACCCAGTGCGGCTGTTGACATTCCAAGAACTTTTGACTGTTGTTTTAACGCTGGGCGATTTAAGACGTAGGCCTAGGACAACAGAGCCCAGTTGGGTGATGGGGATTTGTGCATTAGGTTGCACAAGAAGCTTCGTAGGTCAAAGGCCCAACGTGTGCCCCGTGCCGATGAGCTCCTAACTCCATAAGCCTACGTCATAAGTCATGAGTCATAAGTCATAACATAAATGGTGTGGAATGACAACTCAATGGACCCCGAACCTGAGGCTTTGGCGCACCTGCGCAATAATTTCAATGGCGCATTTGAGCTGTTCAACCCACAAAGATGGCATCTTGTGATGCCTGCGCTGGCGCAATGGTGCCAGTTTGTTGCATTGCACAACGCCGCTGCTGTATGCGTGGGTGAGTCCTCCGTGTTGGACCAGGCCATGCTCAGGTTCAGGTTCCAAGCTTACGGTCCGGTATAGATTGTAGAAAGGTTGGGCTTGAAGGCTTGGGGCTAAGCGGCTTAGTGTTCGGGTGGGATGGTTGCGACTTGGTTCGTTTTAGGCTATAGTTTTAGGGTTTAGGCTCCAGATTTACGTTTTTTTTTACAGTCTATAGTCTATAGTCTATAGTCCATACTATACTCAATTATATAGTCTACAGTCGAGTGTATAGTCCATAATCTAAAGTCGGTTATGGCCATAGCGTAGTCTAGAAGAAGCTATAACTTATAGTGTCTTTTACATACTGCAGTGAACTGTAAGACTTCACGTTTCAGCCTTTCACCTTTAGCCTCTAGCCTTGGGGCCGCGGGTAGTTCTATCATTGGTGATTCGAGATTCAAGACTTTCCCACTAGACTATCTGGAAGGTAGGCGCTGACCAGCCAGCAGCACCTCACGAGGACGCTGCTGATTTCGAGTTTTTTCGACAGCTCAACAACACCAGGAAATCCAAGTCGGACAAATTTCTCAAGAACCCGAAGACACGGTTTCAGCTCCTAGCAACAATGACCCTTGCAACGATCGTTGCACCCATGGTTCGAATCTTATTCCAGACCTCTAATTCAGACCGAGCTGGCATCCACAAGCAGAGCAAGAAAGTTGAGGCTCGTGTTGCTCGGCGAGTGCGATCCAAGGGTTCCCTAGCAGAGGCCGAGCCTCCCAGGTTGTCAGATGTTCCAGGAGTTGCTGCTGCGGCTGTGGCACGTTTATGGTCCTCAATTCTTAACCCAGCGACAATGGTGTTTCGAGTCGCTTCCGCTTTCTGGCCACGTGGGGAATCTTTAAGTGAGATGTACACGCACCTCAGCGAAGAAATTTTGCGAAACATTGCAGCATTGAAATGGCGAGTCATTTGCAGGTTTGAGTCAGCACCATTCAGTGCCATGGAACTGGAGAAAGAAGTTGTTGATGGGTCGCTGCCTGCTACAAGTGAAGAGGTTGGCAAGCACTGCAGGCGACTGTGTGAAGCACCGCACACATGTTGCCTTGATTCATCATGGAGTCTTCCTGTGAGGGAGGCATGCTTGGCAAGCGAGAGTCCAGAGGATGTTTTTGCTTTGCACATGGGTAACTTTCTTCGGTCATGTCGACTGTGCAGTCTCCGAGAAGAACACATGCATGCCATGCAAGGCAAACTGGCAGGCGGTAGTGCTGCTGCAGCTTCCCGACATCACAGCCAGGCCGCGCGCTTCGTCGTGCAGAATCTGGCCAGGTGCTATGTGGGTCGCGGTGGCCGTGACCTGATGCATTCGAGCCCTGAGATCAGAGCAGCAGCCAAGACAGTACGTAAGAAGAAGGTGCTGCATGCCCGGCCGAAGCAGATGGGCTCTGGGCGCTTCATGTTTCTTGCGGCTCAGCTTCGACAACACGCGGGGAAGACCAAAGAACAGGTACTCCAGGAATGGAAGGATCTGGACTCCCAGACGAAACAGGTGTGGCAAGCGCGTAGCAACATACAAGTACGAATGCAACGAGAAGCAAAGAGCCACGCCCAAGAATCCCAGCAGCAAGCGGCCGTTCCCACTCCATGGAATCTTGGAGATTCAAACTTCCCCTTGACACAGCGAGCTATGAATGATTTCTTGGTCATGTTCAGAACCAAAGATGCTGCAATCACCGCCTTGAATGAATGCGACGACGAAAACTGCAGAGACTTTTGCAAGAAGGTGGTGGAAGGCCAAAAGTATCATTCGATGGACGCTGCCATGACCTTCAGCAAAGCAACAGTGTTTGCACAGGTTCGTGTTGAAGATGAGCAGGCCACAAATATTCTGAAGGCAGACTGCAAGCCTGCTTCTTGCGTAGCACAGCACCCGGGGTTCTGCAAGACGCGTGATGCAGGGCAGGCAGCTGAAGTTCAAAGTTTGTTGAAATTGTTTCCAACATGCAGCTGCGTTTTGCGATGTGAAGCTCGTCGTCCTCGCCGAGCGCCCTTGGTCATGTACTTGCGAGCAGTTCTAGGCCGGTTGGGGCTCGTTCGTTGCCGTGGCGGGTGGTTGAAGACATAAATATAAATGATGTAAATTGAAATATAATATAACTTAACTGAAATATATAAAGAGGTTAGCCGGAGCTGACAACTGGGTTTTATTCAGCTGGATAGTGGGGTCTGGTTTGAAATCGTTGGCTGATGTAGAGAGTTCGATGTTGAACAATATAGCATATGGTCCTATGGTCCGAGACTTCGGCTACAAGTCTATAAGTCTATAAGCTATAAGTTGTTTGTTTGCTGCACCGGTTGCACCTGCCAGGCACGAAGAAACCGTTGCGGCTGTTCTTCGCATGGCTTGCGCTTCCAGGAGTACCTGTTGCGGACGGCCAGTGTCTTGTTTATTCGTCAGAACGTGCAAAAGTGCCACACAACGCTGACTTTGCACGGCTTCCTCCGAGCTGTGCTGATGTGGGAAATTGCAGCTTGTGGAATCAACACGAAGCTGCGTTGCAGCTCTTGAAAGTTGCTGACCTGAAAGCTTGGACGTTCTATCAGATGGATTATACGCAACATTCTCTGAAAAATCTGGTTATTACTGGGAAGCTGCGTGATTTGGGTCTGGCAAAGGTCATTGCTACTCCAGCGCCAGCAGAAGCAGCCCCCCGTGAGGATGCCAACATTTTCGATTGCCCGCTTCTGAAGCCTGGAAAGGCTGCAGCTGGGGTGGGGGGCGGTGACGGCAGTGACCATGACGACGAGGACGACATGTTGGAGGAGAGAGATGAGGTCCTGGACCAGGGCGTCGAAAGCAATGACGACAAGTCGGGCAGCGAGAATGAGCGGAATTTCCCTTTCAGGCGTGGTCACACCGAAGATGTGGCTGATAATGAGAGCAATGCAGGCTCTGCAGTCTCCAGGGGTTTGGGCAGAACCCATGGACAAAGCACGGATGTGACCGTTCTCCAGAGGATTTTGGGCGACAGGTGCCTAGGCTGTTGTGCGCTGTCGTTCTCAGGATAGTGTTGTCGTTTGTTGTTTGGGGTTGGGATCCAAGCCCATGCCTTTGTGTTTTTGCCGCATTCGGAAGTAGCAATATTCTGGCCTTGCTCAGGCTTCCTTTGCGCGACGGCTACCGCATTTACTTCAACAGGGGCAAAAGTTCGTGGGTTCTACATTATCGGAATAAGTATGTGGCGGGGTCCAACCGCAATTTGAACTACTACAAGAATGACCGAGGCCAGGAACATGCCCAGCACAGACCATGATGTGTTTGAGATTGTAGGCTGAGTTGGCTACAGACTACAGGACATATAGTTTGCGTGTACAAACTCTAATTCCTGTTCTGTTTGGCACCCCTGGCCCAGCTGCTGTGGAATCCGTATACAACTTCTACCAGACACACTCACCGCCGGCCGCCTGAGCTCGTGTGGAAGGACATTTGTGCGGTTGCGTTGAATCGCCCGGCTGAGCAGTTGAGCATGCCCGATTGCATGCGCGGGAACGAGTTATGTGTATGACTCTGTATGTACCGTTGATGATGGAACAGTCACCGTGGATCCTTGACCCACAAACTTTGTGTTTGGCCACAGGACAGCTATGACAGCTACGAGATGGGCAGTTTGTGATGGCCATCCGGGCCATCAGCGTTTTGTGACCGGCGAGGTCAACATGTGCTGTAGATGTAGACTGTCGACTGTAGATATGAATCATGGCCTCATGGCAAGACGTTCTCCAGCCATCATATCCTTCCCCCACACTTTTAAGGCAGTCTTGGACTATTATACTCGGAAAAAACTTTAGCTCAGCAAAAGTTTGCGAACACTTTTCAATTAGTGGCGCTTCGGAGAAGGCTGGAGATGGGTGGCTATAGCTGAGCATGCCACATATTTGCGCCTGGCATTGTCACACTGAAAAACGTAGAACCTGCTTCTCAGCAACAAGTACGAATGACTCCTGAATCCAATCGAGCCTGTGAACACCCATGCGCAGGCAAAGGTGTGCTTCGATTTCCAGATGTCAGGGCCTTGGTGCGGGAAGGCTTGCTTTTGGTGGACGTTTGGTGTAAATAAAGAACATAACATAACTAACATAACATAACATTATAAGATAAGTAACCGTAACATAATTAACATTAACTGAACTACTACTATATCCGAAACTCGAAACCAAGCTTCATGGCTCCGAGAGAAGTTTACGGTTCACAGGGTTTAGGGTTTAGCCTAGGGGTTGAGGTTTAAATTTTAGGGTCTCGGTTTGTGAGTGGTTGATGTTCTTGTTGCAGACTGAGGCTGAGGCGCGAGCATTTTGTGTCTAGGGTTGACATTTTGGCTCAGGCCGTATAGGTGGTTTAGACTAGGTTTCGTTTTCGGTTTCGGGTTCGGTTCGGGTTTGTTTAGCCTCGGGTGTAGGCGCTTAATTAGTAGGGTTAGTGTTGAATCTTTAGGTTTCAGGCTTCAGGGTTTAGGTTGAGTTTTTGTGCGTGGGGGCATGCCATAGTCATAGTAGTTTCAGTATAAACGAGCTCGATTTACCGTGAGCTCTAAGCCTAAAACCTAGTGGCGAAAGGCTACAGGTCCCAGTGGAAATCCTTTATTTAAGCTGTATAGTTTATACATTTACAGACTAGAGACTTGTAAACTAAAGACTAAAGTGACTAAAGGCTAAAGACTTTACAGCCTCCTAGCACTTAATTAGGAACCCAAAAAGGACATAAGCATTATAGGGATATCCCTACCTTATTGGGCTTCATTATAAGGGGATTTTATATGGGATATCCGGGTCTTAATTTTTGCTTATGTGACATGTGCTTTTTTGGGGCCCTACTTAAGCCCCAAACCCTGAACCACAAGCGTAATCCGTACACTGTGAATCTCTTGGCCAAAACTTTCAGCTTTGTGTGATGAAGTTGGGCCATGCGAGAGATGTTTACCCTACCCTTCCAGGCTCATCCTCCGCTATTGGATCGCGACAAGAAGGCCCAGCAGGGCAGAGTTTGGCACTTGTGTCGAAAAGATCCAGGATCAACGGGCCAATGGTCTGCAATAGGCAATACGCAATAGTCGCAGTCATTTATGTCGGTTCCAAAACACAGCTTGTCGGGTGCTGAGGGCAAAACACTGCATAAACTTCTAAAGCCACAAGCCAATTAGAGGGCATGTAGTGAGTGTCAAGGTTGCACTAGGCCAATGCTAGGTTTGGAGAATATACTAATATGGCCAGCCAAAATAGCTGACAGCAAGGGCTGTCCTGGCCGGAACTGCGAGGGCGCCAGCCCAAATTTGGAAAGTAGTGCGGCCACGTCGGGCCTGACTGGAAGTACGCGCGCTCCAGTTGTGCTTTTTTTGTGCTCTGGTTTGTGCCTTTTTTTGCAATCTGGGAACGAATTTTTAGGGAGCACAAAAAAAACCACAAACTGCGAAACTCCGACCACAAACCAAAGCACAAAAAAAGCACAACTGGTTTGAAAGCTGAAAGCACAAATCGGACCACAAACTGCCAAACTCCCACCACAAACCAAAGAACAAAAAAAGCACAACT